AAAAACCACATCTGCAATACATTTTATTTTGTGGTAAACATCATGATTCACAATTATTGTAATAACTAAAAAAAATCATTATGCAATCATCTGTGTCATTATGAAAAGCAAAAAAAATAATTTGATATTTAATAAAGCAAAAATTTTATTAATATCATCTTAACAAATTTTGTAAGGTCTGCAAACACAAAATATGGGAAAATGGATCACAAAAAGCAAGAACAGGTATAACCCAAGGTATAGATGGATGATGGTGGGAAAGACCATAACATTGATTTAATATGATGGAAAAAAAATAATAAAAAGACATAAATGGAAATGTATGAAAGTATTAAGGACTTTATAAAGTTTGCAAAGTGAGTAAAACGAACAGAAATACTTAAAAAGAAATATTCCAGAAAACATTAAAAAAATATTTCCATACCATAAACATACAAATGACCAAGAAGAATTTTTAATCTACATTAGGAGCATCTAGAAAATTAGCTGATAAAACTTTCTTTGGTTGTTGTGACAGTTCACCTTATTTCAACTAAGCAGGTGTTCAGGCTACTACATTTCGACATTATTGCTGGTGCATTGAGCACTGTGGTTATTAGCTCACAATCATAGTACAAAATATCTGTTCGTGTATTTCTTTGCATATCAGTGTATTGTGTCATTTATAACTAATATTCTCAGGTACTTATGGATGTTTGATTGGATATTTATCAAAGATATTTGACATCATCCTTAGTATTTTGAACTGGTGTGTTTTTTTTCTCTAGTGACAAATGGGATTTTCTATCAATCTTTTTCTTTCTCCATCACGGAGGTTGGCAAATAATTTCAGCAAACTGTATCCAGTTTTATGGCATTCTTAAGAATACATGTGAATTAAATCATGTCTGATCATGGATGTTCTTCTACTATTAGAAACACTGCCTATGCCTAGGTCCTCTGTGGTCCACTATTCTGTCTTTTATGATTAGTTTTGAGAGCTTTTATGATTCCATCAAGGCAGAATCGACCATGTCCTTTGTTGACAATTGTCAAAAGATAGAAAAAAATGACAAAAATACTGGCAAAATGTATATATATATATATATATATATATATATATATATATATATATATATATATATATATATATTGTTTACCAATTTATCACGAAAATGAAAATTTCTCATTTCTCCACCAGATGAGATTCGAACTCACGACCTTTAGGTTTAAAGGTAGGCGCTCTTACCACTGAGCCACAGAGGTTTAAAATAAACTATTGTCAGAAGGTAAAACAACCAAACAACCAAAATGATAAACAATTAGTTTGAAAAAAGTTGAAAACAAGTATTGAAGGGAATTAGTTGACGAAATAAAGGTTAAAAATAAAATCTTAGCCCTAAATGGCGAATTACTGTTAGGTAGGATTAAGACATTAGAACATGTAAATGCCAATCTCACAATTAAACAATCTTTCATGAAATCAGCTACTACATGTGTCAGCAGTATAACATCTTTTCTCAGAAGTTTCTCTAAGTAGTTTACAGTGAAATATAAGAAAACAAAATGTTTTGCTTAAGGAAAATAGATCTATGGAACATGAGCAAGGTAAGAAGGAACCTCAAATACTTCCAAAAACTTAGTTAGTTCCCTCCATTTTTTTGGTCCCTTGCTTTCTCTCACCGATCTTTCACACATATTTCTGACAAGTCTTGCTTAACTGCTTCCAACCATCACTTCTTTGGATGTCCTCTTCTTTTTTCCCAATTTCTCCCTCCTTTAGTTTTGTTTTAACATTTTGATTCTCTGGCATTCATATGAAGTGATCAAGCTATCTAGGTCTTTGGACTCTTATTTTTGCCATAATTATTGGTTTTCCATACATCCTCACTATTTGTTTATTTGTTCGTCTTCTCCAAATATTCTCAACTGTCTTTATTCCTCTGAAGAATTTTCTGAGCACATTTTTTCCCAAATTTCTACTTACTTTTATTCCTGATGGTTCATAATCCATGGTTTACTAGCATACATCACTGTGGATCTGATTACTGTCTCGCAGACTCGCAGTTTAGCTGTTCTTGACAAATTTTTAGCTTTCAGTAGTGAATTTAGTGACCCTATCGCTCTGCTTCCCTTGATTAATCTTTTGTCTACATCTTTTCCTGTCTTCTTTGTCAAAGTATTCAAATTCTGACGCTTTTTCAAAACTATAGACAGTATCTGCTCCTTTTATTTTGATATATTTGTTATTATTTGTTATGTCTACTCTTATTTCCATATATTGCGTTTTTGTTTGGTTTATTTTTAATCTGTATCTTTTTGCTGATTCTTCAAATTTCTAGAAAACTTTTCATAAACTATAACTATATGTAAATAGAGTAAAAAGAGCTGCAACAGAAGAAGCTATTACAAGGTATACTAAAAGTGTATAAGTGAAGTAACCATCAATGGATGAAAAGTTATTAAAAGCATTTGAAGTAATAGCATCTCTCATTAAAAAATTATATATGACCTCTTCTTTTGACCTGTTGATTTAAGAATACTACTACTTCTACGGCACTACAGCCCAAAATGAGCATTGGCCTCCTTTATTTTTTGCCTCCACCCTTGTCTGTCTGTGGCTGCTCTTCTCCATACACGGACTCCTAAAAGTGCTTGTGCGTCGCTGCTTACTGTGTCTTCCCAGCGCTTTCTTGGCTTTCCAACTGGTCTCTTTCCCTGCATTCTGGCGTTCAGTGCTCGTTTTGGTAGCCTATCCTCTCCCATTCGTATCATGTCCCATGATTTAAGAATAAGTTGTTTTAATTTTAACTATCATGAGGATTGTCTAAATGAAAAGAAGTTTGCAATAATATAAAAAAAACAATCACCCAAAAGTGAAAAAAAAAATTTAAAATAGAAATTGATGAAACATTACAATAAATCATGATAAATTATAATCAATTGGAAAATGGATACATATTTCTCTAATTATTCCTCCATGAGTTTTTATCTTGGATCATACCAAGAGCAATCCCTTTTATTAACATGTCCTATGTAAGCATCTTCCCCTACTCCTCGAGGAATTCCTGGAGTGATCATTGAAATGTCAAATAGCAGTTTAATTAATTTCATTCCAAAATAGGAAAAAATTTCTGTTTATTTCACGTTTGAATGTTTTCATATTTGAACTTCCAAAATAATATTATAAGTGATCCATCAAACTCTTTTTCAATATTAGTTGTATTTTGATGGTTAAATAAGGAAAACCCATAAGTTAAAATTTACAATTTTTTATGGGAGTGAAAAACTTTGATACTTAGTACATATTTTTTCTTTCTTAAGATTTATTTATTACTTTAAAAAAACATGCCAAAACATAGTTTTAATGAATCTGGGCTTTTGCCAAAACATTCAGAACAATATTTTCAACCCAAATCCTCATAAAGCTAAAAATGGCAAATTTTTGATATGAGGTTTTGACATTTAATCATTCATTTGGCATTTAACAGCTTTTTCAGCATAAATAATAAAAACATTACAGTATTAAAAAGTATACTGTACTAACAAAGAATGAAGATGCTAATCAATAAATTATAGAATGATTTTGGGGAACTTGCCAAATTGTCATAGAAAAATAAAATAAACAGTTACAACAATTACTGAATGTTAACTAAATATTATAGATACAGATATGAATAAAAACTTACATTTTTCATCTTCTGCTCGTTTTGTTTCTTCAACTCTTTGAATTTCTTTTACTTTGTAGTCATATAACCTCTGTTCCTCTTTCACTGGGTCATATCTAACTTGCTGATTAGGTTGCACAACTAAATATATGTCTTCTACAGTTATTACAGTACTAGATGTGTACAGAGACTTCCAAGGTATCTTTAGAACCAGTTTTCCTGAAAAAACCATATGATGCTACACACAAAAATATAAAGAAAGATAAAAGTACACAAGTATGTTATAAATGTTTTTTTTGTGTTTTTTATTTATTTATTTTCAAAAATAAAACTTGTGATAAAAATAGTTAACCTAGTAGTAAATGGTTAGCACATCTTGTAAAAGGTCGATAGGTCGGCAAACTCCTAAACATTCCAATGCTATAATTGATTATTTAAATGATGTTCATCCTACCTACAATAATGATCAATTTATGGTACCTACCTATTTTTCCATACACTGACTGTATTGGTAAATCTAATTCAGCTAAAGCTGCAGGTTTTAAGACTAAATCCTTTAATTCTACATCACCTGAAACGAAAAAAAACAATATTTTTGGCTCCAAGGATCAAAATATGTTACTTACCTCCCCAAATGCCCACATTCAGTTGGTTTTCGTCCAAGTTTTCAACGAATTCCCCCAAGTACTTGTTTAAAACATAGGACAACACACTTTGGAAAACCATTGTGGTTTTCTTAAGGGTTGTAAATCACCAAGAAGTTCTTACTAGCTAATTTTAGAAATTACATATCTTTTCTGACATGACATCAGAATTTCAAGGTTATGTTTTAATGTTTATATCGCCAATCTCCGCCAATACCAATCAGAGTTACCAACAAACTAACTAGTTTGCAGGAATGCAGGACTTCAGTTCAGGTAACTATAAATAAAATATGTCAATTTAATATGTGTGTTATGTTGCCTAATCTACAGGTTAGGAAATAATCATGAAGGGTACTGCTGTTTTTTACTTTATAACTCCATAAAAATATAAGATATATGTAGTACTAACATTGATAACTGATAACAAGAAAATTTTGAATTTGTTTGTTGGATGTGACATAGGATTATATTTCACATTTACGACTTCTAGACTGAGCTATAATGGAATCAAATTTAGGAACCTAAATATAATGTGGTTCTGAAGCTATTTTCTTTCGCATTTTAATGTTATTTACTGTTATCTATTTATTCTTAAAATATATTTGAAAATATTTCTGAAGTGGAAATCTCTAAATTTCAAAATAAAAAAGACAATAAATAATAATTTAACAAATAAACAAGATAAAGGGGTACAAACAAAAAAAATGATAACATTTTAACTACATAATCTATTTACAATAATTTAATACATTAATAGATTTTTAATACTAATGAAAGCTCTTTTAAAGGTCTGGTTGTCTAATTCTGGATTCCTTATGCAGATTCTGACAATGCACCTTCAATAGATCCATAACATCATGGTTATATTCTTCTGGAGTTTCCTTCATATTTGTAGCCCAATAGTACAATTCCCAATCATTTGAAGGTCCATTAATTAGTCTAAAAATAAATTATTCACATTAGTTTAGAGAAATAAGGCAAAATTGTTTAATCATTACCTATCATATTTCTCCAACTGCTCTTTGTCAAATGCTTTTAGATGTTTAGCAACAAAAGTACTCAGAAGGAGATCATTCTCCAGCATACCACGTTTTCGGGATTGGTATAAGAGCCTAGAATACAAAATGGTAAATTTTGATATTGCCAAGGTAAATGCTCAACTCCCAGAGCATCTACCACACTTAGACAACATTTTACCTTGCTCTTCTCTGTTCAATTGGCTCGTTTTCCCTGGAAGCCGGTCTGGGAACAGTGAATAAATCGTCTGGCGGATCTATCATTGTAGAACTCATCAATCTAGCAGGAGAAATTGAAAACAATTTTATATACTTTCCCTAAAATGTCATTAAATTGATTAGTATATTACCATTATGTTATTAAGGTATAATCATACTAGAAGCTTACAAACTTACATGTGCAATTCGTTTTATTAAATTACAAGCCATTTTGTTATTAATTTGTATAAATTTATGTAGTGTAGAAATACAAATTAACCTGAAAAGTTTATATAAGTTGTTGTTGACGTTGACAGTTTTTTGACAGAAGCAAATATTTGTTGGAAAAATAAGCATCCACTACATCATAGACAATATAGTTTTTGTCTATGACAAAAACCATAGACCAAAACCAAATAGATGGCGAACTCAATAATGACATTTAGAAGCTAAAAGGCGACATCTACAAATTCGAAGAAACTAAATACAACGTTGCCGCTCTATTGCCTCTTATAGTTTTCTTATTCAGTTATAAATACAGAGTGCACAATAAATGTGCACTCAGTGTGAAATATGTTTCGAATGTTTTTAGAAAAAAAAAAAGGATAAATAAAACTGATAATTAACAAAAAAAATTTTTATTTATTAATTTATTTAATTTTATAGTGTAAATTGAACATGGATATTTGCACCATACCACACATAAGTTTTGTAAAAATTATTATTATCTATATTGAATATATCTATCTGAAGTGAATAACAAAACAAACATATTAATCAAAAAAAATTAACTTGTTAAAAAAATCTACAATTACAATAGATCATTCTTACCTTAACAAATACAGATTAAAACTTAACACTATAATGGAACAAATACAGATTAAAACTTAACTTAACACTATAAAACTTAAACACTATAATAGACTAATAAATTAAGAACTATAAATGCCACACCGAGTTAAATAAAAATACATAAAAGATCCTCAAAAGATAAACACCACCACGCTGTAAATAGTAAATAATCACACAAGAATCTTGACAAGTTGACAAATGTTGACGTTGACGTGAAGTTGCCATGTCTCTTTAAAATATGTAGGTACTGTAGCGCCATCTGTGTATTCGAAGAAACTAAAATAAATTTCAAGGTCGCCAATATGAGATAAATATCTATATAGTTTTTGTCATAGACAAAAACTATATAGATATTTATCTCATATTGGCGACCTTGAAATTTATTTTAGTTTCTTCGAATACACAGATGGCGCTACAGTACCTACATATTTTAAAGAGACATGGCAACTTCACGTCAACGTCAACATTTGTCAACTTGTCAAGATTCTTGTGTGATTATTTACTATTTACAGCGTGGTGGTGTTTATCTTTTGAGGATCTTTTATGTATTTTTATTTAACTCGGTGTGGCATTTATAGTTCTTAATTTATTAGTCTATTATAGTGTTTAAGTTTTATAGTGTTAAGTTAAGTTTTAATCTGTATTTGTTCCATTATAGTGTTAAGTTTTAATCTGTATTTGTTAAGGTAAGAATGATCTATTGTAATTGTAGATTTTTTTAACAAGTTAATTTTTTTTGATTAATATGTTTGTTTTGTTATTCACTTCAGATAGATATATTCAATATAGATAATAATAATTTTTACAAAACTTATGTGTGGTATGGTGCAAATATCCATGTTCAATTTACACTATAAAATTAAATAAATTAATAAATAAAAATTTTTTTTGTTAATTATCAGTTTTATTTATCCTTTTTTTTTTTCTAAAAACATTCGAAACATATTTCACACTGAGTGCACATTTATTGTGCACTCTGTATTTATAACTGAATAAGAAAACTATAAGAGGCAATAGAGCGGCAACGTTGTATTTAGTTTCTTCGAATTTGTAGATGTCGCCTTTTAGCTTCTAAATGTCATTATTGAGTTCGCCATCTATTTGGTTTTGGTCTATGCACTACATGCACAACAAAGGATAGGTTTTATTGTATGCAATATATAAAAGAATTGTGCAACATTAGACCAAAATATGTATATTTTTTGTGTAAATTTCAATAATTATTATATTATTAATTTAAAAAACTAAACCAATAATCAATACTGAGATAGGCAGCACATTCAACAAGTGAAATTTTGTAGAATGTAATCCAAAAAGCCATAAACTTGTGTAGATAAATCACGTTTAAAATTATTTAGATATGGTGATTTATATTAAGTATTCGTTTTTTAAAAATGTTCGTACTTAACTATCCTGTTATTAATTTTATAGTTGGTCATCCTATAAATTTTCCTCTTGATTCTTATTGTTTTAGATATAGGACTCATATTTTGCTTAGCTGATTAAAGATTGATCTATAGGAATAAGAAGACCCATTCATATATTTTTCACAATTTTGTTTAGCTATTAATGTATATATTGAAAATTTTTATATTTATCTATATTTTTTCAATTCCCATGGATGTAATGTCAGCAAGACTCAACTTCATAAAAGCAGTTCTGAATTTCTATTAAATTAAAATAAAACACCATATTACAAAATAACAAAAAATATATTGTATAAAAATTAACAATAGTTGGCAATGCTTATAATTCTTGTTTGTCCAAGTTTTTTGAGTATTTTCCTGGATACACCTTTGATTCTATTGTCATGCTTTCACATTTTTCTTGCTCTAAAAGATAATCTTTCGCTACCCAAGCTTGAGATCCATCTTTAAACAAAAATATGGCTCTATTATCATCTACGAGGTATCTAAAATATTGTTAAAATAAAAATAGCTTTATTCATACAATAGAGTTCTTAGTTTAGACTTTATAAATTTTGATGATTTACCTTTCAGCTTGTATATGATTGTTCCACAAGCTCGTTTGCCACAGTTTAGTCAGTTCTTCAGTCTCATCTCTACTTGGATTCCCAGCTACTTGAATAAATGTCATTAATGTTCTACCTTTCTTTGTCGCTTGCAACATGTCTTCAGGATTATTTGGATCCATTTGGTTAAGGTTTAACTGAGGCATTGGACGAAGGTGTTCTGGTAGTTCATCTGGTTCTAAAGGTTCTTCATCTTCCTGAAAATCATAGAAAAATTAGACATAAAATCATTACATTAAAAAAAATGTACCTCCCACTGATCTAATAATCTTTCCATATCAGCTTCAGAATAATCTCTTATATCCTTTTTGGCCCATTCTGGCTTCTCACCCTCTTTAAATTTCTTTCCTGTTGCATGGAAGCCCAGCATGAGAACACAAAATATTACTAATTTTAACATTTTCTTGAATGATGTAGTCACACCCTTACTGCACTAATTGGAAGTTTAAGCTGAAGTTAACTTAAGTTAAGTATTATACAAATGATATAGACTTTTTTAATAAATTATTTTTTAACTTTTTTAATAAACTATTTATAATAAATGACTTAAATGAGACATAAACACAAGGGAACCGGTATTATAAAGTTGGCTGTCCTGTCCTGTCCTTTATAAAACAGAAGACTCTACAGATCCTTCACACAGTTCTTCATGTTATACGTCTTTTTAAAAGGTATCATTGAGTAGAATCGTTGGTTGTAAGTTTCTATTAAAATTTAAAGAGTCATAAGGGTATATAGTATATATCATAAAAATTATTTTATAAATTATTTTTAATTATCTGCATATCTAATTTTATGGTTGGCCCAACTGTTTTCTGCTGTCAATGTCATATTCAAAGAAAGTCAGCTGCTTTGCTACACAAGTCAGGTGACTTTTGAGTTGTACTTGCCCAAAATATAAAAAATAAATTAATCAAAAATGGCATTACATGCAGCTATTAAGGGTAAATTAATATCAGTCATAGGAGATGAGGTAACCCTACAAAATTAAAGTTATATGTGTATTATAATTGTTGGTTTTAGGATACCTGTGTTGGGTTTCTGTTGGGTGGAGTTGGAGAAATGAATAAAAACAGGCACCCTAATTTCTTGGTTGTTGATAAAAGTAAGTTTATTTATCTATTCTAAATTCCTTCTCTTTCATTTATATGTCGACAAAAGGATATATTCAACAAAAATCTATAGACTAAACATAAAAGCAAGTGATAAATGATTCAGCCAATTAAAATAATTTTTGTTTGCAGATACTGCTGTTAGCGAAATTGAAGATTGCTTTAAGCGTTTTCTCAAAAGAGATGATATTGATATTATTTTAATCAACCAAAACATTGCTGAAATCATAAGACATGTAATTGATAGCCACAATTCCCCAATACCAGCTGTACTTGAGATTCCATCAAAAGACCACCCATATGATGCTAGCAAGGACTCGATTTTGAGACGTGCAAGGGTAATCACTTTTTTTCACAATTATTTGTATTTTTAAGTTTCATGATAAATATTTGTGGTAAAGTTTGTCAATTTTCTGATCAAAACAGATATACTGCATAACCGTGACATGGTTTTACTACTTACTCCTCAAATTCACAAAGATCTTCAATCTAAATTAACATTTCCCATATGTAAGTGATTTTCTGGAAAATACCTACTATTAATATCTACTCTTAATTTGTGTTGAAAAAAAATATTGAAGATTGTAAAGAGGTTTGAGCTCTATATTCTCCTTTGTAAGAAGCTCCCATATTAGGATGAAAATGTACTTTTAGTATAGATTGTTTTGGGGATCTTGTTTGACTAATTATTTCACTATTACAGAATTGTGTAGTGTTATTATAAACTGCTGCATATTTAAATTAATTTTTTACATTTTAATTTCATTTTTAGGGTATGTTCAATCCTGATGAGTTGTAAGTAGTCCGATTCTTTTAATGATGTACAACCTACACAGTGGCAAGTGCAACAGTATAAAAATTTACTAGAACACAACAGTTATTGTTATTATGTACATATATCTTGAATAAAAAATGTATAAAATCTTAATAGTTCACAAAAATATAAATGTTTTACTATTAATTAAGACGTGTATTATATAACACGCTCAGTATTAAACCAGAAAATGTTTGTTTTATTTGTTTTGATATTAAGAGATACTATATATTCCAGATATTTCATCATTCCTACCCCTTTTTTAGTTGGTAATATAACATTTCTTTCTACATTATTTTGTTTGTTGTGTATATAGACATGTGAATGTTATATATATATTAGTCCAATAAAAGTATTCTAAAAATGTTTATCTGTGTAATTACTTTCCAGATTGAATTATTTATGTATGCAGAATATGTAAAATTAAATTTTTATGAAATTTTCAGAATGAGTGAGAAAATACCAAAGCGTGAAAACATGATTATATATTTAATATGAACCGCAATATACCTGTTCAAGCAGTGTACAAAAGAAAAATGAAACATCTGCTTGTGCATTTATTCATATTTATGCTCCTCATTCCTTTAGCCATGGTCAAGACATGGTGACTCTAAATTATTAACTTGATATCTCCATTTTCTGTGATCATGTGACAGATTTATGGCTATGTTTCAGAGTTTCTAAGAGCCTCCACAGCTGCTTGACTGTCTTGACATAAATTGATTAATTTCTCTTGCATAACATAAGATTAAATGTAATATTCCTACACTTGACTCTTCTGCAGTTTTGTATCTGTCTATGTATCAGGTATAATGCCCATCCCTATTGTGGGCAGACATCCAATTTTAAAGATACTTTTGACTTTTATCAAGCTGCAACATTATCATAAGTCATCATATGTCTTTTATCTCTAATTTAATTTGTTACATTACTATACAAGGTGTTTCACAATAATCTTCATCATCATCATCATTGGTGCTACAGACCTATAAAAGAGCCACAACCTTCCTAAGTCTATTAAGCCAGTCAATTCTATCCATTGCCAACTGTTGTGAGTTTGCTGCACCTATTTTTCTACCATCCATTTATCTGAGTTTTGGCCTAACCCTACTTCTACTTCCCACAGGTTGTGACATAAGGATTCTTCTAGGAGGGTTGTTCTGCTGTGATCCTGCCAGATGTCCTGCGCATCTTAATCTTCGTATTTTTATAAGAGATACTACATCTTTACCACCAAATATATATTTATATCTGTGATATATCTCATAATTGTACCTCTTTCTCCAAACACCATTTTCACAGATGCCACCAAATATTCTACTTAGGATTCTTCGTTCAAATATAAGCAGGAAGTTTTCATAGCCTTGGAAATGGTCCATGTCTCCGATCCATATGTCAAAACTGGTTGTATAAGGGTTTTGTATATGGTTATTTTTGTTTTTTGGCTTAAGTTTCTGCTTCTCATATGTCTACTCAATCCAAAATAGCATTTGTTTGCGAGGATTATTCTTCACTTGATTTCTTCTGTCATGACATTCTCCTTGGTGATCAGGGAGCCTAAGTATGAGAATTTGTCCACCACTTTGAAGGTAGAGTTATCACGACAAGCTTACACTATCTATATATCCGAAACTACTTTCACAATATTTATGAAAATTGGTTTATGGGGATTAAATTATGATGAACTTGAAGAAAATATTTTGACAGACATGCAACTTTTGCTTATACCGAAAGTGAACAGCAACTTAGTCATTTTAAATAGAATACCCTATATATTAATGCGTTTTTAGATTATGCATAAAAGTCCAGACAGAATTTTATGAGGTACCATAGGACAAAACTACATATTTTGAAGTGAATACTTCTTATTGCTCGGTATGATGTTTTGAACGGACCCGAAATCCTATTTAGCGTGACCCATCCACTGATTCTAAGACTATTTTATCAGCTTTCGAGATCTAAAAGAATTTTGAATATGAGTAAAACCGATTCGGCTTTGAAAGCTAAAATTCTGGATGGATTAGTTTTATTGCTCGCCAGTGTGTAATTGTAATAAGTACATTAAACAAAAGTAGTAAGTCTTATTTATTTATTTTTTCAACTATATTAAATAAAAAAAATTAATGTGAGATTTGCGTTTGAACAGTTTTTGCTAGGTTTTTAAGGTCTGGCCTGAAGTTGGAAATGTCTAACGTTAAATAACCCAACGTATGAGCAAGTATGAGCATTAGTCAAGCTGGAACGCTGTTTACTCTTCGTTTGTTTTTAACATGAAAACGCTGATTCACATAAATAGGTTGAACCAAACATTAATACAGCTGTTTAGCACATTTTTGTTAAATTTGGATATTTGTCAATGGCCAGAAATTTAGAAGTGAACCTGACCCCGATTTCAAAAATACATCGCAGGGCATAGCAATTATTTCATGTTCAAGAAACAGTTGGTCCATTTGGAATATTTCTGCAAATTGTTTGGATATTTCAAAGGTGTTTTGAATAGTATTATTGAATAGATAATTGATAAATTCGACCAACTTTTAAATTTTATTGAAATCTCTAAAACGGATTTAAAAGCCTGATACCACTGACTCAATTTCTGCTGTATACTTCTGTGTCTTGAAAACATAGGCAGGGTGTTTTCCATGTGTTATTTAATGTTCCTAAATCTTAAAAACCTTTTCTTTACAATATCAACTATTAAAGATTTTGTTTGAAGTTTGAATGATGCAAAAGAACTTATCATTTCTGATAATGTTTTCTTCTTGCCTTGCAGTTACAGATTCAATGTGCTTAGTTTACCAGTAAAATCTGCTAGAAATGCCAGATCACCCCTTTCTTCAAGGAGTTTAATAATGTAATTTAACAAATCTCGAAACCTTTGCAAAAACTTGCTGCGACTCAGCCACCTTACGTCGGTGTGTAAGATTAAATCTGGTTCTTTGACATCCAGTTGTTGCTTAAACAGCCGTCTTTGCAGATTTTAAATGCAACATCCAGCACGCCTTTTGTGTTAAAACTTTTACGGGTGAAGACCTGTTGACCAATAAGGCAGTGGTAATTAATGAAGTCCGGGAAATCTTCATCTTTGTGACATAGTGATATAAAACCATTATTAACACCAATCATTGCCGGAGCCCCATCTATGGTTATTGTCATTATTGAAACAAGCTTAAATAAAGGTAAATTAATCTTACCGACAAAATGTTTGAATTCGGTGAATAAATCAATGCCACGTGTTCTGCCTTTTATGGATATCATTGTTAGCAACTCTTCTATTGTTGAGAAATTATTAAAGACCATTCGAATGAAAATAAGTAACTGTGCAGTATCCATGATATCCATCGACTCATTAAGCAGTAACAAAAAAGCAACGCACCGGAGTAGATCTCTTTGCAGTTGCTCATTAAGATTTTTACTCAACAATTCTTTACGACGCATCACAGTATTTCTTGACAGCTGCAGATAATGTATACTTTTTTAATTCATTTTTGTTTTTGAAATTTCATAACAAACTAAGAATGAAGCTTCAGTTACAGCCTTAGACGGATCATTCGGCTTGCACAACATATTTTCCTGGGCAGTCAAAAGAGATTTTAATGCTTGAAGTTTATTCTTTCTCACTTCAGTCTTAGGTGGAAACTCTGATTGGTATTTACCGTGCATTGTATTAAAGTGACGCTACAATTTTTTTTTTTTCGTTATTGCTACTGATGTATTGTAGATTAAGCAGCAACAATTTTCTTTTACCGTGATTTATCATGATTTGATTCGCTCTTACGCGAACGGGATAAAATTAGCAGAATGAAAAGAGAAAGAAAGCGGCTACCCATTTATAGTCACATGCTTATTCCTTGTTGGAATTGGACAACATAGTGTACAGTCAGAGAACTACGAACACATAGTTCTCTGTTACAGTATAGTGTGACCAGCGACACAGCATAAGGAACAAATTTGTGTCTATGCTATGCCAGAGATATGTAATAGAAATATAGTGAGTGAGTGTGACTGACTGGCAATTCAATGCGAGGGATTATGAGAGTGTATTGATTTGACACCAAAGATAATGGATTTAATCCGTGTACTAATTGTTTACTTTCCTACTACTTATGTTCAATCTAACATAACTGGAATTGGGCAGGCATTGTAGCGAGAATGCATGACTCATAATGGACGAGTAAAATTACACATTGGAGGCCAAGAGCAGACAAACGTAATAGAGGAAGACCACCTACACGTTGGGCTGACATCAGACGTACCTATCACGAAAAATTGGCAACAAAGAGCAAAAATCGCAAAGAATGGAGAAGTTTAAGGGAGGCCTATGTCCAGAGGTGGACGTGATAATTGAAGGCTGGATGATGATGACACTATGATGTGTAACTTGTGCTGCCCTCTCTCTAGCAAATATATTTACACAAAATATTTAAAGATAGTAAATAGGCATTACTAATAATTTTTAATAACCGCTCAATCAGTACTTGATTACCGAAAGATGTATTATAATATAAACTTTTAATAACTTGCGAACGAAGGCTAATATACATCGCAGATTATCTTAATTTGAGGTTATACTATTGTTATTGTTATTGTCTATAATGTCAATTGGGTATTGGGTAGGGGAGGGGTAAGGGTAACTGTAATCTGTAACTTGTAACCAAAGAATATATAATATATTATATATATAATATATTATATAATATATTATATATTATAGACGCTTACGTCTATATTCTTTGTTGTAACTGAACTGAAACTGTACTACTACCAGTACTACCAACTACTACTGTACAAAAGTTTGTTTGTTGGTGACATTGAATGTCTAAAAATTTAGTGTGCTTACTGCTTAGTAAGTAAAGTTGGTGTGTATTGGTAAAGATATTTATAAATGTTTATAAGAATATAACATTCCACCAACCAAAGTAATTTCCATTAAGTAAATACTACTGTGTCAATAATTAAGGTTCTGATTGTACTTAAGGGACATAATAAACAAAAAGGTCCAAGAATATTAGTTTCAGTGATATATTTATTAGTTACCTATACATATAAAATAAATTAATTTAACATGACCCTTACCTACTGTAGTGTTCCTACCTGCTCTAATATAGTAAGTGACAATTCAAAACTAAATTTCCACTATTTACCAAGGCCAGGTCAACGCATTATTACCTATGATAAGGATGGCCACAAGATATACCGCGAAAGAAGGGATATATGGCTAGAAAGAATAAAACTACCAGACATAAAATATCATAAATCTGCAATAATCTGCTCTGAACATTTTACTGATAATGACTACTTTAGGAGAAGCACCCATAGTCATACCCCTAAAAGTTCATACAACTCCATAGTTATTCTTAAACCAAATGCTGTACCTTCAGTAAATCTTCCACCAGATGTTAATACTAACCAACAGTTGGTAAGAGAGAAAGACTGGGAACTAGAGTATGAAAATTTGATGCACTCTGCTGGTGCAGAAACATTAAAGACTTTAGTAAACAAGGTAATCATTAATTATTTTTTGCTTTTTCATCATTATATCAGTTTACAAATACCTAATCAACATAAAACTTATTAAGTATATGAGAATACTGATATGAAGCAGGTTTGATTTGAATGTATTCTTTGGAAATCTGATGTGATCTACTGTTTGTGAATAATTTGATACCATAGTTTGCTCATTCTAGTTGAACCACTTAATAATTTACAATTATTATTATACTGACCAAATCATTGTTAGAGTTTTTGTTAAATTAAATATTATTTTGTAAGTAGCATTATGCTGTCAAATTTTTTTCTTTCAGACTATTATTCCTATGTCAAATTGTCTATGAATGGACATAGAATAGGATAGACAATAGAGTGGGATCAACAATATTCTCTAGTTATATTCTAAAAATACTATTAAAATTTTTGTTGGTTGTTTTATCCCTATCCTTGTGTGTAGCTGCCTACAGGCGGTGGGAGTTGCGGAAGCCTGTTTTTCATGGTATCTTGAGTACTCAACATACCTAAAGGCTGAACCAATGACCTTAATAAAGGTACACAGTTGTTTTTGATGGGCCGTTCCTTTCCTCTCAGCTGTTCGATATTCTTTTCTGTTTTGGTTACCATGCTTTCTTTTCTTGATTATGGCACATTACAACTAAAATGAAATTGGACCATCTGTACTAAACCAGCCAACATATATAGAGGTGAAACATGAAACCACTGTGCAGCTGCAATAGGAGATTGAATATGTACTACTGTGGGAAATAATTACATACTGGTCATCCAAAAAAGATGTGGCTAAGCCAGGAAGATAGTTTATTTAGGCTGGTAGTGAAAGTCTTCAATACCATTTATAACAATTCTTAGATATTATTTTATGAGAAACAGATAAATTGCGACAAAATTTGAGTAACAATCAAAGTTTGGTTGTTTAATTAATTCATCTAAATAACTTCAAATTCTATCCTAAATATAAAAAAATGGAATATTACGAGAAGTCATAATGGCAAATTTTTTCAATATATTCACAATCTAGGTACAGAAAAGTAATTTAGAAAAGAGAGAAGTCTGATTAATAATAATAAATAAAAGATGTGAGCTAATAAAAGTTTATTAAAATAATTTATAAATTTATTCATTTACACTATGTTTTATCATGCTGTATCATTGATAATTGTGACAAAAGAAAATAATATCTCTACTGGTTCAGAAGAGGGAATTGCAGTGTTACAGTTTTCTGAACAGATAGTTGTCTAGCATTGTAATATTTTTTCTTGTTATCTAAGTACTTCAGTACTTCCCATTGGAGTCAATTTTTGTTTCCAATTAAAGATATTGTATCTTCAGTAAAATCTAAAAAGTTTAATTCTGTAATATGTGTATTGGTCATGATCCAAATGTGACTGAATTAATTCAATTAATTGTATGTTTATCTAAACAATGTTTATGTTAGGCAATATAATAATTCTTGTAACTTATGTAGTTTTAACAGATATTTTTCAAAATTTCATTCTTGCCTCCTTATTTTCTTCTGAATTTCTGAATTCTGAATGTTGCATCAACTTCTTTAACAACACATTTTTGTTGTTGAGAAGCATGAATCAAAAAGGTTTGTGAAGATACTTTTTTTTTCTTGGGTAGTACTGTTAAAGTGCAATTAGATGAGATCATCGTCTGAAGAATTGTGAAATGGATCTATGTCATCTCATCCTCAATGTTGATCAAATATGCCATGATTTTATCTGTAAAAATGAATAAGTTAAGTAGTGTTTATATCATTGTAGATCTATCTTTTCTTATACAGGTTTTTTGCAAAATAATTCTAGAATATCCCAAGGTGTTTTAGAACATCCAATTCTTATGAAATTGTAAACATTAACTGACAAAAGATCTAGTACTCTAAAATATTTTTTAATTTTACTTAAAAGTACAGGATATTATAGTTTTTACTAATACAGATTGAACGAAATAAATTTCGGAACATAGGAATATAATGTATTTCGGCTCAATTCTGCTGTAGCTGGTTGGCCAACAAAAGATTGTCAAATAATTATATTATAAAAAATCCCATACTTCAGTGGGCTGCTGGATTCTGAACTCATAAAAATTAAAAGCTACACATAAATCTACGATTATGCTGTCAAACCAGTTATAGTCCAGGAAATGTAGCATTTCACCTCGCAATTTTTTCGTGCGGCGTAGATTGACTTGAAATTTAACAGAAGGTAGGTAATAGTCTAAGGATCAAAATCTATATCGAACCAAATTGCGCCAAAGCCTAGGGGGTGGTTGCCACCCCATCTCCGGGGTGAAATTTTTTTTTACGTTTTAACTACAGGTTTCGATTAGAAAAGTGATTCTAAACAAAAAATGTGCTATACATTTTTTTATAAAATGATATTTTTCAAGTTATTCGCGATTGAAAGTAACAACTTTTAGACGAAAAAATCCACGTTTTTAATCGATTTTTCGCGAATAACTCGAAAATGGTGCATTTTATCAAAAAAATTGTAGAGAACAAATTTGTAGCTTTTAAAAAGACAAATACAATTATAAATACAATATCAATGTTCAGCGGTTTTCTTCAAATGCCAAATTTGAAAGATTCAAAGTCAAATATCGGGAAAATGATGCATTTTTGGAAAAAAACTCACAAAACGTTTTTTAAAGAGCATAAATAGACCTATCATAAAAAAATAAGGTCAATACCTCATTTTTTACGAAAAAATCGAGGAAAACAACAACCTAACCACCCCCATAATTAAAATCGATCCTTACCCTTCTGCAATTCCCTTTGTAGATGTATTGTTAATACGTCCAAGAAGTTTGACCCATTTAAAATGCTTAGTTTTAGAAAAAGTACAGCTTAAAGTGAGAAACGATTTACAATTTCATATTTTTCACCCTTTTTTTTTAAATATGCCCGAAAATACTGAATATATGAAAAAAATAAAAATTACCAAATTGTAGCTTTTTTAATGACTAAAATTATCCTTTATTAAGATTTGTTGTACAATGAATATTTGGCGAGATATAGCCGTTTAAAGCATCGATTTACGATCAAGCACCATCTTTTTCAAGCCCTTTAAACTCACCCCATTTAAAAACCAAGGGTTCCAAAAAGATTTAATTCACAGATCCTTGTAGCTATTAAAATCCTCTACAAATCGTTTTTGAAGAAACATCTATCGTTAAAAATTAAAGGAAATACGTTAAAAAAACCAGTTAATTTTTTTCCGGAAAATTCCGTTAGTATAGTACAGTACATTTCGGAGCATAATAATCTACAAAACCGGTATATTAGCTAGTGGGGCCTTATACATTCGAAATTTTAAGCGTTCTTATTTTGAAATCCCATACAACAGAATAAAACATCTGCTCATATGTCTATGGCTTGGCAATGAAAATATCAGAGCAACAGATTGGGGATGGTTTTCCAAAGATGGTTTGTTATTACCCGTACGCATGAACAAACAACCTGCACCCGATAAATTTTTGAAAATTATTTTTTGCCAATGCAAAAAAGGATGCGGCGTTTCATATGGGTGCAGAAAAGTTGGTTTATACTGTAACTCTACTTGTTCTGGGTGCTCAGGTGAAGGGTGCAATAACAGTCCACCAATAATTGAGGAAGATGATGATGACATAGATCACATGAAGATGTAATTGATGACGAATAAAATTAATATTATAATTGTTTTACCTGTAAATGTAAATATTTTCAACTATTTATGTAAATGTATAAGAATATATGGTGCCTTTTTATGTTGATAAATTTTTTTTGTATTTATTTCTACTTTTTTCAATTTATATCTTATAAATTAGTTTATAAAAACTGCAATGTTGTAAAGGGTGATTTTCAAAAGTTGAAAAGTTGCAAAATTTTGGCAAAAAATTGTTTTTACCTATAGCACTCATAACAATTGATTTTTAAGGGTTGAAAATGTATGAATTTGTATTTTAAAGTATAAAAAACTCACTATTTAACTAATCCAAACCAAATTTCACTCATCTTAGGATTTGTAATATTATTTTACAATTTTTGAAAATTAGGGGTAGTTTTCACCCCTAAGAACAATCAGGGTTCATCGGCATGACATAAACTATAAAGTAGAGGGTGAGTTGAGCTTAATTCCAAATTTTTATGCAAGTCGTTCCAAGGTGAAATCATTTTCTTCGCATTACTAATTTTTTTATATTAATCTCTAATGAGGGTCGCTTTTTAAGGGTTGAAATATGATGGAACTTTATTGAAAAGCACGAAACTATCATTATTTAATTAATTCAAACCAAATTTTACCCATATTCAGGTTTAATATGTTATTTTATAATTTTTGACAATTAGGGGTAGTTTTCACCCCTAAGAACAATCACGATTCGTCGACATGACATAAACTATAAAGCAGCGGGTGAATTGAGCTTAAATCCAAATTTTTATCCAAATCGATCCAAGGCGAAATCATTTTTTTAGAATTAGTAATTTTTTACATTAATCTCTAACAAGGGTTGCTTTTTAAGGGTTGAAATATGATGGAACTCTATTCAAAAGTATAAAATAATCATTATTTAATTAATTCAAACCAAATCTTACCCATATTCAGGTTTAATATTTTATTTTATAATTTTTGACAATTAGGGGTAGTTTTCACCCCTAAAACCCTTCAGCGCACTTCGGTTCGATATAGATTTTGATCCTTGGGATATTACCTACCTTCTGCTAAAATTTCAACTGAATACATGCAGGACGAAAAAATTGCGAGGTTTTAACTTTTTTCGAGCTTCAATTCCTGAACTATTACGCCTCCTTAGACAAACCCGTCTTACGCAAACAACTTTGTTGCGAGACAGATAGTTGAACGATATTTTATACAATGTCTATACCCAGGTATGGATTTATTTTTGTCCAAGTTTTATATTGGTCCACTATTTTAAATGCAGTTCAAACAGACATGTATTAAATTGTATGTTCCGTTTTAATTTGGTTCAATCTGTATAAAAATTTGCAGCTGAATC